CGGGGGGGTGTGCGGCGCACCATCGGCTGCCTGTGGCGTCCCACGTGTGGGGGTGTGTGCGGCGCACCATCGGCGTCCCACGTGCGGGGAGGTGTGCAGCGCACCATAGGCTGCCTGTGGCGTCCCACGTGCGGGGTGGTGTGCGCACCATCGGCGTCCCGCGTGCGGGGGGTGGGCGGCGCACCATCAGCTGCATGCAGCATCCCGCGTGCGGGGGAGGGGGTGCGGCACACCATCAGCTGTGTGCGGCACAGGCTGCGGGCTGGTGGCTGCTCAGCTCCCAGCAGTGGCTGCATTGCAGGGTGCTCAGTGCATGCGGTTTGCGGTGCACGAGGACCCTGTGGGTGAACGGTGCCCCTGTCACTGCCGTGACCGGATGCACAGTCAGTGCCCGGCTTGGGGCTTGTTTGGGCCACCTTGCTGGCTGCTGCTGAGCCCGGCCAGGCTCAGCCTCACATCCCCTCTTCTCCCTCCCCAGGATCTACAGCGACCTCTCCAACTGCACCGTGCTGATGGCCGAGGCTCTGTCCTGCCCCTGGCCCAGCCCTGCTCTAGACTCCTTCTTCCTGCAGATCCACATGGAGTATTTCACCAACTGCACCGTGCCTGCCAGCTCCCAGCCCAGCCAGCCACCTCTGGGGCCCATCCTAGCCATGGCCGCCGTGCCTGCCTGCCTGACCCCTCTCGTGGTTGCTCTCACGCTCCGCAAGGCCAGGGAGGCTGAGCCAAAGCCAGACCGGCCCCTCCCTGCGGCACCATCTGTGCTCAGCAGACAAAGGGCTTCTTCTCGCACGGTGCTGGGCATCAACTGGAAAGGGAGAGAGAGTGTCTAGTGTTTGGGGGGGGGGGGGGGTGCGGGGGGGCAGGACTCCGGGGTTCGATCCCTGGAGCGGGGAGGGGAGTGGGGTCTAGTGGTTAGAGTGTGGTGGGGCTGGGAGCCAGGACTCCTGGGTTCTATCCCTGGATCGGGGAGGGGAGTGGGGTCTAGTGTTTGCGGGGGTGCTGGGAGCCAGGACTCGTGGGTTCTATCCCTGGATCGGGGAGGGGAGTGGGGTCTAGTGGTTAGAGTGGGGTGGGGCTGGGAGCCAGGACTCCTGGGTTGTGTCCCAGGACTGGGAGGGGGGGGGGGGGTCTAGTGGTTAGAGTGGGGGGGGGGGCTGGGAGCCAGGACTCCTGGGTTCTATCCCAGCTCTGGGAGGGGAATGGGGACTAGTGGTTAGAGTAGGGGGGCTGGGAGTTCTGTTCCCAGCTCTGCCCTGGACTCCCTGAGCCCCTCCCCTCGCTGTAACAGGGGCAAGCAATGCTGCCCGGCCCAGGGGGTGGCTGGGCTGGGGAGGGGAAGTACTCAGGGCCCGGCGGGGGGACAGTGGGAATGGTGGTTGCTTTCCAGGCCCAGGGGTAATTAGAGGAGCTGAACCCAGACCCCTGCAGCCTTGGCCTGTCCAGAGCACTCAGCCAGTGTGGACACACCTGGAGCAGGTCCCAAGTTCAGTGGAGCAGCGATCGCAGGCTCTGCCCCACTCCCACAAGCTGGCGTCTCCTCAGCAGCCTCCAGGCCCTGCTACAGCCGTCTGCGTGCCCTGCCCGGACTCGAATCCCCCGGGGCAGGAGCCAGGAGAACAGGCTTTGGCTGGCAGAATGTGGGGGAGAGAGCGTGAGCTCCGGAGGAGAATCACATGAGCAAGTGACAGCATGGCCCTGTCTAAACTCCAGCACTACAGCTGACATCAGTGGGTGTTTCCTTGGCAGGGAAGCGATCCGCCGAACTCCAGCCTCGGCTCCAGACAACAAAGAACAGGATCCAGGGGCTCTAACCCCGAATCCACCCCGGGCAGCTTCATGCGCTGGGGCGTTATCCGTTCCAGATGTGGCTGCTTTCCAGTGAACGGCTGGGAGCTTCCTGGAACGAGCTCCGATGGTGCAGCCCAGCACTAATTGGCCAGTGACTCAAGGACATTTCCAATGAAAGCCTAATGCACAGAGTGATAGGATCTTCCTAACCGCGAGCCTTTTGCCCTGTGATTTACACACAGTATGGGAGTTCCAGAGACTGACTTTTAAAGGGGAAACGTTGGAATCAAATGCTGTCTTAGGCCACAAGTGACATGAGTTTGGCTGGTCTCAGCCTGATCCCTGCAGGAATGCATCACAGACCTACCGCACCGTGGGGTGTCATTCTGAAGTGTTCACTTCTGCTTGGGGGTGCCCAGGGCTGGGCTAGCAGGGGGGCTTCAGGTTGGGAGTGAG